ACTCACTCATTCGAGGATATACACTCCATTCAGTGTATGGATGGAGTATACACCTCATCGGAGCAGTTTGGAGCTCCATCACACACCTGCTGCTACAACTGGGGAGCAGACAACAACCGGCCCCAAGGAACGAAGCAGCCAAAGACCTAGAACTCCAAGGATCAGCCCCCACAGCGCCCTATGGAGAAGACGAAAACATTAGTGTTGCGAATAAAGAGACTCAAGCGAGAAATTACAGTGAATTAAATAAGTACTTACAACCCCTTTTAGACAATAAGTAAACTTGTAATAATACAACCCCTTTTAGACAATAAGTAAACTTGTAATAATACAACCCCTTTTTAGACAATAAGTAAACTTGTATGTCACGTTTATCATACGTATAATAATAATAAATAAGATACACTTTCAAAAAACTTGGAACAATACGTCCAACTTTTTATTTTTAAGGGGGGAGGTGTAACGTCCAGCCCCCACCCTCCTTTTTAAAATTTCGATTGTTAGTTAAAAATATAAAATAAGAATAATTAATAACAACGCGTAGAAAATAAGTATAATATAAGTATAACATAAGTATAATATAAGTATAACCCAAGTATAAAATAGATATAAGCATCCTCGAAGTCTCTCGAATGTTCCACCTTATTTCCATCGAGAACATTCTCGAAGTCTCTCGAATATTCCATCCTAATTCTTTCGAGAACATTCTCGAAGTCTCTCGAATGTTCCACCTTATTTCCATCGAGAACATTCTCGAAGTCTCTCGAATGTTCCATCCTATTTCTATCGAGAACATTCTCGAAGTCTCTCGAATATTCCATCCTATTTCTTTCGAGAACACTCTCGAAGTCTCTCGAATGTTCCACCTTATTTCCATCGAGAACATTCTCGAAGTCTCTCGAATGTTCCACCTTATTTCCATCGAGAACATTCTCGAAGTCTCTCGAATGTTCCATCCTATTTCTATCGAGAACATTCTCGAAGTTTCTCGAATATTCCATCCTATTTCTTTCGAGAACATTCTCGAAGTCTCTCGAATGTTCCATCTTATTTCCATCGAGAACATTCTCGAAGTCTCTCGAAT